CTACAAAGATGATGAGGGGACTGGAGCATCTCTCCTCTGAAGAAAGGCTGCGAGAGCTGGGCCTCTTGAGCCTGCAGAAGAGAAGACTGAGAGGCGATCTCATCAATGCGAACAAGTATCTGAAGGGAGGGTGTCGAGAGGATGGGGCCAGTCTCTTCTCCGTGGTGCCCAGCGACAGGACAAGAGGCAACGGGCACAAACTGAAACGCAGGAAGTTCCGTCTGAACCTGAGGAAAAACTTCCTTTCCTGTGAGGGTGACTGAGCTCTGGAACAGGTTGCCCAGAGAGGTAGTGGAGTCTCCTTCGCTGGAGATATTCAAAACCCGTCTGGATGGGATCCTGGGCAATATGCTCTAGGTGACCCTGCTTGAGCAGGGGGGTTGGACTAGATGATCTCCAGAGGTCCCTTCCAACCTCAACCATTCTGTGGTTCTGTGATTTTTGTTTGTTTTCAGTATCCAGAACTCAAAAGAGGGATCATCAAGACATTGTACTAGCTGCTTTCCAAATATAAATGACAATGAATTCCCCAAAACTTCAGGGAAGAGTTTACAATTTAAGCAGTCTAAGGCAGCTTGCTTATTGTTGTTTAAAAAATGATGGGATGGGATGTGGGGAGGAGCCAGTACCAGACTGGAAATTATAAAGAAGAGTGTTGACTATTAGCCTTAAACAGGAGAACTGCGTTTAGTTTGGGGGACCACACTACATGAAGGTTGTGGACCTGTTGGAGATAGGCCAGTGGAGGGGCAGCAAGAATGAGCAGAAATCCAGAAATCTTGATCTGCTGGGAAAGGTTGAAGGAATTTGATCATTTAGCCTCAGGAAGAGAAAACTGAGTAGTAGTAGTTTTCAGATGTGTACGAAGTTTCTGTGAAAAAAGGAATAAACCCTTCTCTGTCCACAACTGGATGGACAAAAAATAATGACTTAAATTACATCAAAGGACTTTAGAGCAAACTGAATAACTTTAGGGCAGCAGCAGCATAGATTGTCTGAGGAGAGTGTTGATTCTTCATCGCTGAAAGTTTTTATGAACAATCATTTGTCATGAACAATACAGCTGCAGTTGCTGCTGCCTTGGGGCAGGTAGGACTGGATAACTTCTTGTGGTGCCTTTCAGTCCTGTTTTCTACTATTTTTATGATATTACATGCAAGAAGATGTGTACTTCTCAGGAGAGAGTCTTACTGTTTAAAGAACATATATTTGCCAGACCTGTGAGCAGGACGAGGTAGGTGGTCATTCAGAAAGTTAGTTACAACTGCAGAGGGTGTCAGTTAAACTTACAATATATGAAAATAGTGCTACAAGTGAAGATGGTCCAGCAGAAAGCAAATCATCAAATAAAAATCATTATCAAAATCATTGTGTTGGAGATACAATGATTTGTATCAGGGTGCTGATCAAGATCAAGTGCTTGATCTTGTGTTTGTCTGTTTTTCTTAGCTAGATAAAATTTCTAATCTCTCTCTTGATTCCTTTGTAAGTTATTCAACACAGCATTAGAGAAATCCAGCTGGACTTGCTGTAGAGAGTGAAATGGATCATTTGGATAACAACTTATCCATAAACATGCAATAGTCCTATTACAGTTAAGTCTTTGGAGAACTGAAACATAACATTTTAACCAAGTTAAACAAAGGCTGTTCAGCTTTTAATGGGGGAAAACCATAATATCTTTAGAATCCTCTCCCCCGCCCCTCCCATTATCATTGTATATGGGCTTAGAAACACTAATGGTATCATTAATAAAACAACTGACAATCTTAATTATTTTACTAGAAATTTTCCCTTGTGAGTTCCCTTGGGATAATTAATGGAATAGTATGAGTTCATTGCTAGCTCATATTCTCGACTCACCTCTCCCTCCCCCTTTTTTTTAATTGCACATGCTTAAAGACTTAATGACAGTCTTACTAAGTCAGAAAAGGATTGTATTAACCACAGAAATAGTTTTAAAAGATTGATTTTGAGTGTACACATTTTTTATAAAGCTTAGATGTATGTTTACATTTAAACAGCTCACTTTAGAGCATGCAGTGTGCACCTAAAGACTGTTTTCTAGCTGCAAAGAATTGGGTCTGCAAAAGACAATGGGAATAAAAGAGGCAAATGAAGTGGCTCTTGCTAGCTGAAATAGCTGTTGCCCTTGGTTGCATCATTGGACCAGTGCAAACTGCTCTAGAGGTGCTTCATCTAATCCCCCAGGAGATGCCCCCAGGCCAGTACCCATCTCTTTCACTGAGATGGAAGACGTGATGGGCAGGGAAGCACCGTTGCATCGTGATTAGAGTAGCCCCTAGGTCTGTCTGTGTTTTAGGCTGGGGGCTAGCCCACCTATACAGGCCGCCACTTCCCTTTGCAGTTACCCCAGGTTGTGTTTGATTGTGATTAACTTCCTGTGTCTTGTTATTTTTGCTTCTTTGGCGTTTAAACATGTACATCAAACAAGATGCCTGGATCAATGTAGTGACTTTCTTCTTCCTCTAATGTCAACGTGTTCCCAGAAAATGGTTAGAGTCTTTAAAAATAGGCTTTTATATTAGAAAGAGCCCTGCTTTAAAATCACAGCATTTTCTTCATGAACAGATGAGGTTATACACCAGCATCACTTTTTTTCTAATCTACTCTAACATTGTTTCTTTTGTTGTACTTTAAACCAACATTACTGAAGTACAGCAAGATGTTTTAACTAATGTTTCAGAACACTCTTAGGATCTTCTGCTCTGCATATGAGATAGGATTTGAGTTCAAATATAGGCGGGATCCTGTTTATTCAGAGTCCCTAATGGAAAACATCATAGGTTTCTGGTATTGCAATATTGTCAAAATTTAAACACAAGAAAAGGTTGAGGAACTCTTCTTTCCCAGGGCCATCAAAGTTTGAATGAGGCAACCATCATCTTTTTTTTTTTTTTTTTTTTTTTTGCATAGGATGCAAATGTAGAAGTCAATAATCCATCTGTAATTAAAAATCTTTCCCGCAGACCTCAGATGCCTGTAGTGTCAGTTAGTTCTCTTTTAACCTTTTCTCATCTCCATCTTTCAGCCACTGATGCCTGACCTTCATTATTACTACATAGTTGAATTGTCATTCTACTGGTCCTTAATGTTTTCTCAATTCATTGACATCAAAAGAAAGGTAAGAACAATGAGTCTAAACTTTGAAGGCTGTAAGCGTGTGTTTTTTGGCTTGAGGAATATCTGTGCATTGAACTAGAAGTACAGTTCTTTCTAATCACAACCTCTTGCAGATGTTCATCACAGAGAAACTAGTTTTGAAGTGCTTGTGTTACTCTGTCTGTCAATACCATGAAGTGTATTTTTTTCTGCCCGTTGGAAAAAGAGTGATCAAGAGCCTGGAGTAATCCAGTATTGAAAGGGAAATGGCATCAGCAGATAACTGCTGATCCCATACAGTGACTTGAATGGAATGAAACACTCTTAGTAGCTGGTAGATGTACTATTTCTATTAAGAGTAAAATGATGAAAATGTCAATGACAGAGCAAGACTGCCTCATAAATTCATAGTATCATTTTGATAAGGTCTATGAGGGCTTTAAATGTATTCTTCTACAAAGCAGTCAGAAAAATGAGGATATATTTAATATTAAAATGATGCTACGTTTGATCTTACCTTTACAGTTATGAAATTTCAAGTAGATGAGTACTGCTGCGTGTTTAATTAAAAGTCATGGCATGTGTCTCAAGTATAATGGCTTTTATTTGTGTTTTTTTTGTAAAGAAAAATATTTAAAACATGACCATAGGAAACTGTAGCAACTGTGAATTAAAACTATATCCAGTATGTCTGTCTTTCTGATAATTGAAAGATAATTGTACTGGAAAAGTAGTTGTGTGGGAACTTGTCCATCACACAGAGCAGATGGGCTATCAGTCAAGAAACTAAAACTCTGGCCAGATGAAGACAATTTTGCCAGTATCAGTGACAACTGATTCCATATTCTTTCATCTAGGTTCTCCTCCAAGAAAGAGCAGTTCTGTAGAGTGCTAATCCATAGCAACACAGGCAACACAAGTCATTCTATGCTAACAATCCATTGAGCTATTCCTGTAGGGGTTTTTTAATGTTGCAAAATTATTTAAGACATTTAGAGGGACTTCATAATATTTTCAATGTGCCTTTTCTACTGTCATTTAATGAAATAACTGTAGACTGTTGTACTGATGGAAGAAAATCCCAGTTTAGTAGAATTTTAGCACAAGCATAACTCTGAAAAAATAAATAAAGAATACAGTATGTCCTAAATAAATTGATCTGCTATTTGGAACCACGGTGTGCTCTTAGGAATCTTGTATTGTAGCTACTTACATTAAAAAAAAAAAAAAAACCCTTATATTTGAATTTGCAAAATTTTTTTAGGGTGAATACATGTAAATCCCTTGCTTGAATTATTTGTAGATGATAAACGTCCTGTCAATTATGAGCCTGAAATGGGCACAACTTCACTGTCTCAAAAAAAAAGAAATGCGGAGAAACAGGGCTAGTGGAGCTGTACGATAGTGGAGGTGAATTTAAATCAAGAGTAATGAGTAATATATATAAGCAGCAAATGCAGGCAGTACTTAATAGCCATTTGCCAATATAGAAACCAAAACTAAACCTCTGCAGCAGTGTTGCAGAATTGTTCGAGTTATTGCTGCAGAAGTGTGCCATGTCTGATCAGTCACCCTGCATTTATTCAGCCTTCTAGGCTGCGCAATTGGGTATCTTTTCTCTTTGTGTACCTCCTGAAGGAGAGGAAAATAAAACAGCATTGCAATTGCAACATTTTTGCAATTTTGCAGTAGTACACATTTTTAAAGAATATTTAATTGATTTAATTTAATTAACTAGTTTCTTTGTTTACATAAAAAATAACTGGAGGGTTCCTGAACAGCATCTGGCTATGCTGAAGTACAGTTCTAAAAAAGGCCATTGTGATATTCACTAACACCTTTCTCGTTTGATAAGCCTCATGGACGAACTCTATAGCTGTTTCTCTCATGACTTGGAGAGTTTGTTTGCATGTTGAGCTGAGCACAGAAATAAAGCCTGATCATGTCCGTAAGTACAGGTACAAGTAAACAAATTTTTGCAGGTTTGTCTCTCAGTTGCATATAAATGATTTACTATCAGGAAGGTTTCTCAGCAACCTACTGTGGAAGTAGAGTAGGGGCTGGAGGTGGGGAAATAGATTGTTAATAATTAAATAACACACTCGTCTCAGATTTGCAACCCAGAGCACCAAATCAGTGCCTTAAAGCTGTGTCCCATACATCTGCTGTGTCTGAGGATGCGCAGTCTCCCAACAGAGAGCAGGAGCACAATAACTGCAGTGCAATGAGAGCAAGTCAAAAACCTTTCATTGTGAGCACCCTGAAGGAGACAGTGGAGATGCCATATTTGTCAATGAACTGTTAGATCACTGACCAGTTTGATTCCAGCAGATCTGCAGAGAGTGCTCTTTTTGTAGTTTAAGCAAAACTGATAACTAGGAAGACTGGATAGGAGAAATGTGGCTGTGTGCTGGTGTCACACAGTAAAACTGTTCAGTGGCCAGGGATGAATGCAAACTGTCAGAGAAACCCTGCTTTCCCTGGGAGCTTACAGTAGTTGACGCAGAGGAGCACCACATGCTCCCGGGCCTCTGGGCAATGCCAGCTCTCAGCGGGCTCACAGCCCAATGACGAGTGTCCTCTCCACCAAAACAGCTGAGGAGGTAGGATGACATCAGACAGGCAGTGTGCCAGATCGGTGTGAACACGGATGTTGTTAGGAAAGTATGGGATAAGCCTTAGCTCTGAACTCATGTCATGCTGTCAGGAACACCAAATACATGGGTATATATACAGAAAAGGAAGGGCCAAAAAGGACCAGTTACAAGTTCTTGACCAGTAAAATGTGGCAAGCGAGAAGTGTAATGTCATCCCAAGAACCATGCACTTGAAGGATTTTGTGAGGCCTGAGATGTCACAAATGGGTTGGCCACAAAGGCCATGTTCCTACGCGTCACCCACCCCTTCAATAGGCCTGCAAGTAAGAAGCAAAAGCAACTTCAATTTAAAAAAATATATATTTATGTAACATGGTTAAAGACTCACCTTGCAGGAGGTGTGAGCTTGACAGAGACACCAGCTGTGTTGCAGCTTTAAAAGGCATTTAGTTTAAAAAATGCGGAAACCTCTTAAGGTACCGAGCACACGATATGTGAAATGGTGCCCATCTAAAACAAGCCTTTGTTTAATTGGAAGAATGCCAGCTATTACCAGACATTATCATAATACTTCATGACAGTTTTTACAGAGCAGATTAACAGTTAATTCTCAGCCTAGAAACCTGTTGCTATTTTCCTCTTACAGTGAGAGAAATACGTTTATCTAAGTCTTGGTTATCATTTTAAATACTTTTAAAATGCACAGTACCTGTGTTATAGTCTAGAATGATCAAAAGTGTCCTGGCAGTCTTGCTCACTGCTGGAATTTAGCCAATCACTTTTATGGAGTCAGATTTCTTTCAAGGAGAGGTGCTGTAGGTTTTATTTGAAAGGGCCAGCACTCAACGTTGGCATAATTCCAGCACTGGTCTTTTACTTTATGTAGCTCAAGAGAAATGTACATGCTGTTTTTCGTCTCCATTTTATTCTTTCGTAATAGTAAATTCATGAGTTGAAAATGACTTCCAATTGGATTGCTGATTATCAAATGCCTGTTTATGTAGATGTTATAAATTCCGCCAGATTATCTCTGCCTGCCTGAAGAGATATGAGCAAAATATTTACATTTTTGTCCATACCTACTATTGGCATTAAGTTAAAGCAGTGAACTAGGTAGATTAGTTTTTATAATTTTATAATGGCATGTTGCTTGCTTCCTAAACTTCTACCATGTTGCTGTAATGATGTTTTACACTTGAAGTGTTTCATTTCCAAAGACTTGTGCATCCTAGCATGATTTTTTTTTTTTTATATCATATTTGTCCAACTTTCCATACTGCTCTTCTGTTAAGCACAGAGAAGGAAAATTAGACTGGGGAACTTTGTGACTCTCACAAGCCCTGATTAGTTTGAAAACCAGTGAAGCTTATTTAAATGCTTTCTAGGTGCCTGAGGTATTGCTTGATGGAAATGTATTTGACCAGTGTATTTGAGGGAATGTGTAACATTTCTACTTCGGTCAATGTAGGTATGTAGAAGACCTAGGTGACCTTTTAGTGTGTTCGCTTTTTAGTTCCAGGCATTTGGCAATTCCTAGAGCGTCTATGTTTTCTATTTCAAGAAGAAATGCTTTCTTTTTCCAAAAATAAGACATCTCTTCCCCCCATCCCTCACAATAAAGCAGTCTCTGGCTGCTAAGTATCTTGAATATTCAATTTTTTTCCTGGAAAATTTATGCTATATTTCACTGAAACTAGATGCCAAAACTGTTTCTTCAACTCACTGAAAAAAAAGATAGAGCTGAATTCTTTTGTTTCAAGAAAAGAAATTTAGATTGTGTGCCTTCTGTGGACCTTTACTAAAGTTGTAAGGGTTAAAACCTTGAGCTGCTCACATTCCATTCGTTTGTTGATGCATAAACAAAGAAGCTGAATTGCCTTGGAATGAAGTTGCATTGCCTTTAGTAGGGCTTGGCCTCCTTAGCCGCTTTGGCATTTTGGTCAATCTCATTTGTTTTCCAGTGAGAAATACCCTGAGGCTTAGCATATTTGATGTACATGTTTTAACTCTTCACACTATTGCTATTCCTTGCGGTTAAGTGTTACTGAGCACTCTTTTTTTGTTATGTTTAATGATCTAGAGGGTCTAGCTACCACACTCTTATCCCATGAAGTTCACTTCCAAAGTGTTTCAGAGCGTAAATAATTTCTGAAATACGTATTTTAAACAAACCTGGGTGGTAGAAGCCTCATTTCTAGTGGGTGTATCTCTCAAAATTGAGAGCTATTGGAATACTTCGTTATCTGCACTTCATTCTTTTGATTAATGGTGCCAGGAGTAGGGTCTTTCACCTATACTTAGCCACCTATTTTTCTGAATCTTCCAGGCACGTGATATCTTTGTCTGGCATTCTTTCAAGAAGAATTGAGAAGTGAGAAGTTTCAAGTAGAGGCTGTAAATATACTGTAAATACATGCATCCTGTACAAACATACACACAGTTTGAAATAGTTTTAAAAAAGAAAAAGCCCATACCTATACAACTATTCCTATACCATCTATGGATGAAAGTGTTCAAGTAAGCTAGGAACACAAGATCCACTTGACATTATGGGACTTGCACCATTAGTTCCTTTGTATTCTTTACCCTTATGTATAATTAAAATCTAACATGTAGCATCTTCAAAGCATAGTATTAATTATTGGCATAAGGAAATGTTACAAATAGGAAAGAAAGGGCCAAAATAACAAAAGTTATCTTACTAAAATCACTGCTACTCTTTTTTAACAATTATCGGTAGGTCAGTCCAGGATCTCTTTTCAGAGCTGTCAGAATCAGATAACTGTCTTAAGAAACATATGAGAGAAGGAGTTCCCTGAACAGTGTTTCTGTAAGTAGACTCAAAAAGAAATGCAGAAGATTGCTGCACAAGAGCATTAGGGCTGCTTACTTGCAGAACATGAATGTGGCAGTTACGAAAACAGAGAAGTTTTTCTGCTTGGCTTGCTCACCTATTTGAGCTGCTTATGTGCTAATGGAAACGCCATTAGCAGGAAAGCGGAGAACAGTGCCATAGCATTTGCAGCTGAAGTAGGTAAAGAGCTAGGCTACAATATGGCATATGGCAATGCTAGCACCTTACTTCTAATCCTGGGGAAAACCCCCCAAAGTGTGGGTTTGTAGTGGTTGAAATGACTGAGATGCCATTTCCGTGCAGTCCCTTAAGAGCCTTGGGAAAGGAAGCAGCCTTTAATTCTTTTCTTCAGTCTGCTTTAAGCAGCAATGACTTGAGATGACTGCTGGATGTATTTGATTATACTCCAGACTGCTGGGGACCAAACTGGGATTCTCTTTTTAGTCTTATTGTTCAGCTTTGTGTAGGAGATAGCAGCAATGCCCACTGATGTCTGTTTGTAGGAAATAGGACCTTGTAGCACTTCATAGCGTTAAATGGAAGGTAGTTGGAAGGAGGTCTTCTCCTTATTCAGTTAGTGCTTAAGTTGCAAATTTTTCCGCTGACTCCTAGTGTACATTGCAGTGAAGGCAAATGCTGATACTGAACGGGAGTAGCACTGCATTTCCTTGAAAGTAGGGGGGCCTGGTATCTGCAGGCTCTGATTGCCATTCCCAGGGAGAGGTGAGATGGCACTGGGCCGTTGCTTTTCCTAGCATTAGAGAGACAGTGCAGTTGGTAACTGTAGCAGCTGCTTTACTGGAGTTGTCCCTGCATTAGTTGGGGCTCCCCAACACTTGGCCAGGAGGGCCCTCTATCACCCTACCCCTGCTTTTCCTCCCTTTGCAAATCAAATTCTGCCTCTCTAAAGATTGCAGTGCCTCAACCCATTTTCTGTGATGTGGGCCATTTACCTGAGAGACTTCCACAGCTCAGCAGGACTGGCTCACAACAGCTGCGAGAAGGCCAAATGCTGCCTCCCCAAATGCTTAGTCAGCTGGCTGCCTAGAGGAGCTGTTCCTTGTGATGTCCTGGATCTGTTCCTTCAGACAGCCCTACCTGAGAGCCACTTGTCCTGCTGAGAGCTGCTGTACTATCTCAGCACCTGATGCATGAAGGAACTCTCCAGTCAAATGATGCTTGTGACTTTTTTCAAGGTTTTGGTATAATTTTCTCAGCAAATTCCAGTAAGATGTCTTTTTTAATGATCTGAAGCCTTGTAGTGAAGAATCTCATCTCTACCAGTCATGTAGAAACCCAGCACTTGTACCTGACAGGTGACTGTCAATACATTTTAGTGTGGTAGGAATCTATTTCCTATTCCTTTTTAACTATCTAAACTCATGTAAATGATACATTATTTTGCATATTATACGTTGCTTGGTATGTAAGAAATATGGCATAATTTGATTTGTATATATATATGCATTTTCAAAGTAACTAATGTTGTAAGTGTTTACTTCATTAGGTTAAATGCCTGGAAACTGAGAAGTGTAGATGTTGCATATCTCTGAATAATCTTTTTACATTTTCTTAGAGTACAATGATTATTTTATTGAGTCTAAATGAAATTGATAGCTGGGCATTTAGTATGCGCTTATGTAGCAGAATCTTTATGTAATATAACCTGAGTTTAAAAAAAATATTCATCCATTTTTCTGTAAGGGTATTTAATCTCACTGTTTGTTTGTTTGTTTGTTTTTTCCTTTCTGTTTCTTGCTGCTCTAGGATTTTGGCATCATGTTTATACATCACATTGTTACAGTCATCTTGATAACCTTCTCATATATAACCAATTTGACACGAGTGGGAACCTTGACCTTGTGTCTCCATGACGCGGCTGATATTGTCCTAGAGGTGAGAATATATGTGTGGCATCAGAGTCTGTATATTTACTGTTCACTGTTCTGTGAGCTCTCATGTCAAAGGGTAGAAATCTATTTGCTAGGCTGAACAAGTAAAGTAGTTCCTAAGCAAAGATGACAATTCAGCATGGTAATGGTGATTAATATAGCGCATTTCCTTGCTGAAATGTATTATACTTGTATCAGAGCAGGTACATTTGTGTATGTTTGTGACTTTAGGCTGGCTGATCCCTTGATAAGTTGCTTGTACGGAGAAGAGACAGGTAACACATTGCACGCCATGGAGGAATGCGCCTAGATTTTGAATATAACACAGTAAGGCTGAAAGTGTAAGTTGCAATAATTGCTTTTTGAGGTAGAAGCTCCTGGTTCTTGACCACTTGGAAGTCATGTATTCAGTGAGAACATGGAGCCCCTGTCTCTCAAAGAATCAAGATGTCATGTTTTGATTCTGCTATACTTTGTTGGACAGAGGGTGCTGGACAACTTAGTTGCCATTTGGTGCACAGGCAGTGAGCTGACCTCTGGTCCGGAGAATTTTCCAGGTTCCCATGACTTCTTATCTAGATGGCAATATTAAGCTATTTTCTTTGGAGCAGAGGAGATGGTGCTTCGGTTTTTTGACTGCTCTGAATGATGCCGGAATTGGGCTATCTGTGAGCTCTCCAGCTGGATCAGACTAAAGTTAATACTTATTCATCTAAAATTATGTTTTTTTTAAAATCAAAGCTGTTGCTTTGATAAAAGCAAAAGAGGGTTCTGTGGTGCAAGAAGGTAGTCTAACCATGTCACCTTAGTCAAAATCAAAATCCTGCCATTCTGATTTGATAGTGCTGTAAATCTGTTTTTTAATCTTTTTTTAATCTAAAAGGCACGTGACTGACTGACTTGGAAGGCAACGAAGAACCTGGATTTGTCTCACTAGGAACAATTACGTCTTTACAAGCTCATGTTTCTGTTTTAACAACAGGTGTAGATCCATTCTGCTGGCTGTGAATTCACCTGAACTTTCTTTGTTACTCTTTTTCTTGCCATCAGATGGATGTTTGATGGTTTCAGATCACACCAGTGCCTGTGGCACTAGAAAATCACTGGAGAGCTGCTGTAATAGACTAGCTAAAGCCTTTACCTGAAGACAGTGAGATACGTATTTTTTCCTCAGTTCCTCTGTTCATTCAGTGCCTAAGACAAATAAAGAGAAATTGCTGGTATTGTAGCATTATTTGGTAAACATTCAGCAAATAAGTTTATTTTACTTTAATTCAATAGTATTTAATAAGTGTTCCCTATGAGACACACACTTCAGTGGTGTTTCTGGTCAATTCAGTCAGTCTGTTCTAACTGTAAATACTAAAGCCGCTCTCAAATGTTAGGAAGAGAATCAGAACCACCGAAAAGCACTTGCCAGGAGAACCGTTAACTGTTATCCGTTAACTGTTAACCGTTAACTCTGTTATCAGAGTCAACAGGTCTTTCTCTAGGACAGTCTGTTACAGCTCCAGTACCGTATAAGATAAGATGGACCCCTACACACTGCTGCCATCACTGAGGGAAAGTCACTGAGAAAAGGAAAAATATCTAACTACAAAAAAAGCTGGTATAATTTCTTGCCATGATGGGTCAGTTGTGTAGCTGCTGGTTTTCACCTCTTATATTTTAGTAAAAATGGAAAGCTTTTCCAAAGGCCACTAGGCTATTTCCACCTACCATTTCATAATGATACGTGCCCAGTGGAAAAATGATTGCGAGTGTAATAATTTTGCCATTTTCGTTGTGGAAAGCAGCATACATTGATGGAAATACTGGAGATGAGGTCATTTTTTTTCATAGATCTTTAGGCAGATGCAGAAGAGTTATGGGAGTATTTTCAGGAATCCCTAGCTGTTCTCTTAGATCTGAGTGAAAGTTATCTCGATTGCTCAAAGTAGCCTAGCCGTGGCAGGATAGACCAAGCGTGGAGTCATTTGTCATGCTAAGAAACCTCTACGTTAGCTTAAGCTGAAACGTGAATCGCCACTGAGAGGCAACTTTCAGAACCCCAGCTAAGTTGTTTAAGGGGTCTTAGGTATCTCTGCACTGCAGTACAGCTTGTGGATTGGAAATGCTGTGACCTAACCTGCTAAAGTGCTCAAAATCCCACCTATTTAGAGACCTTAAGACTTTTCAGACTCAAGTACCTTCCTACTTCAATTAATATCGATGAACGCTGTGACAGTTTTGATGCCAGTGTATGGCTGTGAAACAGTTCCCGATTTGGTATGCGTCTGGTATAAGTGAGCCTCACTATAGCTGACAGTTGAACCTGAATCCTATCTGACAAGTTCTGCCTATCTCCTAAGACACTTTTCAAAAAGAGTAGGGAATGGGCGTTTCAGACCAAGCCAAATGGCTGCACTGTAAAATAAACAGGATTAAATAAGCTAGCAAGAGTAGCCATAAGAGCTATATTATTCAGCTGCAGTCATGGTTTTTATGCTTTGAAATTAGCGTTGTATTGTCTTAGGTGGCCAAATTCCATCTAACCACATACCCTTTCCCATTTTATGCAGTGTCCTCCTCCCCGTTTGCATTACTGTTTGTAAATTGGTTACCCGAGAACTGATAATCCAACAGCTGTACTGTTTCTGAGAAATGGCGTGATACTGCCACAAGTTGCTATAGCAATATCAACTCCACACACTGTGAAATTAGCTTTTCAAACTGCCGTGGAAATACCTCCAAAGTTCTCAGTTGGACTTTCAATCATCTGAATATCATAATGTTATATTTATAACTCTTCTGCTTTACATACTGGAATCTAAAATATTCACTTGCCCTTAAACCTGACTCCGAGTATGAACTGCTAGGAGTTGTATTTGTATCCACTAGAATATAGCACTGACTCTAAAGGTTTATGTTTAGTTTGCAGCACTGGTAGCTTTCCTTATACTACTGACATGTTTTCAGCTAGCGGAGATATCCTTTGGGTTCAGATTTTGAATGGAAACATTGTGGAAGTTATGTAATGCCCAATAGGGCAGGTTGATCTTGGAATCTGGATGGTAAATATGAGCATGGAGTACTTTCAGGTTCAGTGTGTTTCAACCAAAAAATCAGGAACAACGCAAGAGTGTGTCTCAACGTTTTAGAGGATCCTCTGTTGTGAATTTTGCATTCAGAATAATATACTATATGGACAATTTTGATAATTTTGCTTACTTTTAGCACTCTGGCAAGTCTGTGCACGTAAGCATTTTTTAACGTACTGGGATTGGACTATAGGGCCCTTCAAAGAATGCCCTCGAAAGGGCTCCCAGTGGCTAGCGCGGGCACCAAATCAGGCTCCTCATGCATTTTATTTGTTGTGCAGTGATTCCCTGTATACATCTGGCACAAAGCATAAAGAAAGATAGTCCCCGCTTTGAAGCGGATGTTTTAAAATAAGCAGCTTTACTTACACAGATGAAGACACATAGATGTCTTAAAATAAGCTTGCTTGCTTGTACATGCTGTTTTCTTCAGGGGAAGACAGCAGGGAAACTTAAGGAAGCTCAGTGTTTTTAAAGAGCAGTTTGAATGAAGAGGGATTAGTTGACCCCTCTCCTTCACAGAGGAAGAATTGGAAGACTGCTTAAATAGAAATGAGAGAAGCCTGTAAAAATATGCTTAGGGCAACAAGTCTGGGGAGCAACAGTAACTGAGGGGGGAAGAGGAAATAGAATTGAGACCCTTGAAAAAAGATTTGAAGGGGAGTGGTATAATCCTAGAGGCAGAAACTGGTCAGCATAGCCCAGAAAAGAAGAAAAGATGCTGCAGGAGACCAAAGGAAATGGTACGCAGCAGAGGATTTGAGGCAAATCTTATATACAGGAGACACAAGGAAGTCAGAAGGCATGAGACAGGTAGAAGATAGATAGTTGCTGAAAAAGCAAGTGGAGCCCAAGGGGAAAGACAGAATTGTTTTATTAGGTTGGACTCAAGAGAGTAGCAAAATGGAAAGGTGCGAGGCAGGGGTAGGTAAAAAGTTTGAGGATAAGGAGGTTCAATAAAAGATTTAGAAGTGTTTTGTGAATCTGAAACTGTAGAGTTTTTAAAAGGAAGTTGAATGGAGAAGAAAGAAGGTAGAGATGTACTCTGGTTTTATGCAGTGTATTTTCTTCTGAGAAGTAGTTTTCCAGCTCCTTGGTGGAGAGAAGTTACAAGGTCACTGCAAGGTGGCACAGTGAAAATGTTAGTGATGTGATCAAAATTTGATTTCTACTCATTCTTATACACAATACAAGAGAACTCAGTTGTCCTCGCAGAAGTAAACAGCCTTTTCTTTCTTTTTGCAGGCTGCCAAAATGGCAAACTACTGCAAGTGTCAAAAACTGAGTGACCTTTTGTTCCTTACGTTTGCCATTGTCTTCATTGTCAGTAGGCTTGGCATATATCCTTTATGGTGAGTAAGCATATCCTTTTCCTCAAATGTTAAGGACCAAACAAGCTTGGAAATAACTATATTCTAATAGAATATGATCACTTATATCATTACATTATTGTATTTCCCAAAGTGCCAAGGAGAGTTTCATACATAACCAGGTGCTCAAAGAACCTATTTGCTGGAGGGCCGTTTTATTTACCATGTGGTAGACAGGAAATACAAAGGGCTTGAGGTAACTTTGAAGAATTGGATTGGAGACAACATGACCTTAGATTAGCAGGTACAGGCTTGAGTTGGCAAAAAGGTGGAGGGGGAGTAGAATAAAAATTATTGGTTACCAAAGATACTGACCAGAAGCAGAGCTTAATGCTAGGATCTTCTCAGTAGCTTTCAGTGCACGCTTTATCACCGTGTTCAGCTCAAAGAAAAAACACAGTTAGCTAAGGAAAATTCTGGCCGGCTGAAATCAGTATAAGGATATTACTGCCATGCAGATTGCAATACTCCAGGCTTCTCCTTTTCCACTCCTCCTGTGAAATGGGGGTCCTGGGGAGGCCGTGTGATATGTCTGTAAGGTAAATATACAAATGTTACTCTAATCTCACCTCTTCCCAGTTAAAGGCAGCTGCTTGCATTTGCACCCTCTTTCTCTCTGCCTAGGTACACCCCCAGGTATGCACGCAAGCATGCACAGGTATGTTTGACTTTTCAGCAACAATCTTCAACATCCACAGACCTGCTGACTAGTCAGAAAATACCATGATGTACACCAGTGCAGAAACCCATTCGGTTTCTTCTGTAGTCGCAATATGAGTTAGCTTTGCCACGAGAGGAAATGCCCTCCTAGGGCCGTGTGCCTGTGTTCATGAGGAGGGCTGAGAGAAGGCCTTGACCTTACTCTTTTATGTTCAGGATCCTTCATTCTCTAGTATGAGCAGAGCTAACCCATTCTGCATTCCTGTGAAAGCAAGAGCAAAGTCTCTGTCATTACAGCAGAAGATAGAGTGACAGTTTTGTCTTTGGGAAGCACCAGGAACGCCAAAAATGTTAGTCTTTGCAGAGGTTTATATACAGAGATTAGTGGGCTCCTTTTTTAAGCATACAAAGGATTTACAAATACAAGTATCAACTTCTCTGCCACAAGTTTCCTTTCCAAATCCTCTATAATGGTATCTCTTTTGGGTGTTGCTAATGCAAACAGGATAAGACCTAGATGCCTTAGGGAGCTGTGTCATCAACTCTGATTAACAGTAGAATGCAGTGGTCACATTTAGTGTTTCATAACTCCAAAAATAATGTAATAATGCTTGGTCCCTACTGTGCTGTGAATTGGTGAAGCCCCATGCCAAAAGGAGAAAATGGATAGACGTGCAAACTATGTTTAAAAACCCTTGATATGTTTTCCAAGGAGCAATGATATGTTTCTTAAACATCTTTACTTCCCTTTCCTTAGCTCTTCCTTGAAGCTAACTTAGCTATTCACTGAACTTCTGCAAATGAAGTAAGCTAATTTTTTCCACTTGCATGATCTCAGATAGGAAGAATGGTGGCAGTCTTGTTCATGAATTTCATCTGACTGTAGCACTCTTTTATATTGGGAAATGGAGTGAGGACTAAATTCCACTAAGGCAGTTTTGCCACTGGAGACTGCAGTACATGACTCAGCTTCAGGGAAGGTTCAGTTAGATGATGACAGCCTGAAATGGAAATTCCACTGCATTTTCTTCTCTCCTTTAATAGTTTTAAAGAAATAACAAATTTACGCTCCTTCTCGAGTGCTTTGAGTTTTTGTTACAGTTCTGCCAAAAGTGTTTAGCAATGACTCTAGCATACCATTTAAACCCCATTCTGTGTTGTTTGAAGTAGCAAGGAGGGAACTGCTGACTTTATATTTTTGTTATTCAAACAAAACTTTACCAGATAATTGCTGTGTGCTTGGCTTACTGAATAGTCAACAAAGAGGAGATTAGTCTCATCCAAAGTGCACAATTTTGAAGGAGTTCATTAGTTTTCTCACAGTTTAACTGGAAGCAGCTTCCCAGTATGCTTTTCCTCTTGAGAAATCTGAAGCAAGGTCAAGTTTTTCCCATCCTTTACATCCTTACTATGGTAGTCAAGTTTTGGAGAGTCCACAATTTAACCTAAAGTGTTTAAAATAACACTGTGTTCATAATCAGACCTGCAGGCTCACACGATCTCAAATGATTTCTGTGAAGTTCTGTAGCCAAGCGTCACACTGCAGGAAGCTCTTGCGAGGACTAGGCGAATTTTCAATTCAAGACTGACATGGCTAGTAGGAGCGGGGCATAATACAGCTGAAGGCTGTGTAAGTGTTCTACTGCTCATGTTGTCTGACTTGCAAAATCCCCAAAGTAAGAGATTACTTGCACAGTGATGCATTATCTAGGAAGTGTCAAAACCTGAGCACTGACTTACAGCCTTGCTGTTTTGTCCTATGGTTCTGGGGTGTGCCCATACATTCCCTTACACATTTGGTAGCAGCAGCAGTTCCATGCCACTTTTGATTGAAACCTCATCTGAATCATGCTCTCCAGAATCACAGTGGCATAGTGTGCTGAAAATGATGTGAAAAATGAAGCAAGTAGTTCTGGAGAAGAGGGAAAGGAAAGAAGGACTACATGGTAGCGTCTGTTGTTGATGTTAAGCTCCCTTAGTGCTGAATATTGGGTCAATAAGGACAGCAGGTTGCAACTGTGGGCAAGGGTAGTTGCTAGGATGGAGAAGACAAGGAACTTGTTTTTGTAGTAGAGGAACGTGGTCAACTTACTGCCCGTTTAATAACCATTGTCATAGCAAGACAACAACTACATTGCAAGAAAAGTAAGGTCCTTGCCATGAAGCACACACAGTGTAATAGGCTAACTGCCTGAGTAAGAGATAGAAATTAGACTCTACGAACATCTTCCCAAAATATGAGTCACAGGTGAGCCCCAAAATATCTTGTAGTAGAAAGGAAGTAGTTGGAGAGGTGACTTCAGAGCATGGCCCTGAGAAAAAGGAAAGCTCTTGATTGGGGGGGAGGGAAGAGGTGACAGTTGCAAGGATACTCCGATTATAGGGAACAGAATAAAAATACAGTATATACGAGCTGTGATTTTTTTTGATACCATCTCATTTCCGGACTAAAGCCTTGATGCTTATACTCCTAAAGTTACCCTTTACTTACATGTGTAATCGAAGAGTACAGAGGTTAGCTTCATATTTCTCAGCAGTATGGTGAGCACTGCAAGTGGGAGTCAGGGTTTGTAGAAATGAAGTACAAGATGTATGGGGCTTGTCACTCTCAAATCTTTTTTCTCTATGAGGCAGCAGTTCCAAATCTTCACCTCCGTTAACATGCATGTCAGCAAAGATGAGTCACTGGAGTGGCAGCAGGCTGGGAAGCATAGTGTTGCTCTCCTTTTCCTTCTGGTTGAGTATTCAAAAGAGCAAAATTTGGTGTCTGATTATGCTAGAAAAATTTGCATATTTATGTAATATTAAAAATTAGGAGGTATAAAATTGGTGTGCTTGTAATGTAAAAGGAAGACTGTAATTCATAAGAAAACTTCCTCCATGCTGGAAGGCAAGTATCCAAGAGTGGGTTCCAATCACATTGCCTATAAAATACTGGCATGCCCTTGAGCTCTGGCTTTGCACAAATTCCATTTAATTTTGCATAGAGGTGCTAGTAAAGAATTCAGAATGTATCAAATGCTGTTGTTTGAAGGTTGTTTAGCAGTGGGGCTAAGCTAAAAGAAATAGGCAATTAGGTATATATTTAGCAGTCTTTCTACAGGCATCTGGAGTTCATTTCAGCAATAATTCAAAAACCCCAGGACACTTTCTGCCTCCTGCTACTAAGTGAATGTAGGAGTAAAGCTGCTATTTTCACTGACAAGATATTTCGCTTGTGAAATTCTCCCACTTGCACATAATCGCTGTTCTAGCAAATTACAACATAAAACACAACTCTCCATGAGTCAGAGTGAACATGATGCCTTTCAGGTGATACAGGGTGGTGGGGACAATGAAAGCAATCCCAAACTGAAGAACTCATATAAATGATGTGAGCCTTTGACTAGTCTGATTAGGCTGGACAAAGCAGTTACCTCAAGCCTGCCTTTATTTCAGTAAGCCTTACAATGCCTTTTCCCTAACCACCAAACATTTATTTTTGCTGTAGTTGTGCAGACATAGTCTTCTCTCTTTTTTTGTTGAAGGAGTGCTTTGCTTTTTGCTATTGTTCATTTATTTTTCTTTTAATATCCAGGAAAGGAAACTCCATTAGGTCATAATATTTATTAATTGTTTTTTGAGGTGTGCAGAGAACAAATGGGCACTTTTATTTCAGGGGAAGTGGATGAAGAAGGTGATCCATTGTAACAGCCCAGATTTTCCAAGCTTTGTTTGCTTATTGCCAGTTACAAAGTTCACGCTCCAAGAACCATGAAACTCCTGAAATTCAGGCTATACAGGAAGCCCAAGCATACTTACTTTCCTTATTCTTCCAGAATACACACTTTTTTTTGACAGGGCAGTTTGAGTAAATTTCCTAATGCTGTAAAGAGCTCTAAATCTGGAACTTTTTAATGGAATGACAGTAAGTCAGGGTATTTCCAAGAGCTTCAGTGGAAGCAAGGGTGGAAGAAGGGTGGTTAGCATAGAGGGAGATACAAAGTTACTAAACCTGTTTAGTGTTTTAAAAGATGGCTTGAGGTAACAGTGGAAAAAGGTTTAACTTTTGGGTTTGAAAGAAGAAAGAGAATGTTAGGAGATTCCAGGAAAGCCAAGCTAATCTTTACCAGGGGAAGGCACAAAATTGGGTCATATTCAGGTTCTGTCAGGTTTCTTTGAACAGTGCTAGGATGAGGTTGTATTTCACTAGTTTTGATTAATTATGAGAGAAATGGAATACAGTTTCAGGGAGCTGTTATTGATGAGTACTGCTGTCAAAAGGTGGAGGAGCAGGGAGGGGCGTTTGCCCTGATGCGAACTGTCTCAGCAAGCATTACACA